TATGAACATAATAGTCTTGCTTTTAATGATCTGTTCCAAGGGTGGAAGCTCTAGGACTTACTTTTGCCAAAACACGCACAGGATCGATCACACGGTATGTTTCTCTCGATATGCAGTGCCCCTTTTTAAATCAGACTCATTTCTTCCACCCTCAGATGGGATGGTAACTGTATGAGGTCCGAGGGCTTTTCTGCTGAGGGCATTTATAGTACTATGAATCACCGTATCTGCTTTCAGTGAAGTGGCAGCAACCAAGATCTGAGCTCTATCTTTCTGGCTTGTCCTCTAGACAACCTGTAGGTGGAGCTAAGCTATAGCAGAACAGCATAAATGCACCTGGAGACAGAGTGCCATTTTTTGCCCATTGTGATCCAACAGCTCCTTTTTCCTATTCTAAAAAAAGAAAAGCAGCCAATTGCTCTAAAGAAAACAGAATTAAAACTGGAGGATAATCTGGAGAGCACATAAGCAACCACGAGTAAGGGATCATGAGCACACAAATACTGTATTTAGAAAAACTGTCACTTACCATCTATGGCCCTCTTTCCTTTAAAAACACATGTGGCATAACTATGCCAGGAAAGAACCATTTTTAATTTCTGGAAGAGGGAGAACTTATCCTGCCCTTTGTCATCCCCTGGACTATTTTGACTCCTAGGTGCTTCAGTGGTTGCTCAAGGCAGCCCTGACAATTTTAGCCAGACTGTCAGGTGTATGTATTTAGGTGCATGAATGCCATCATGCTATTTCCCCCTTTCATTTCCAAACATAGCTAATAGATCCAAATGTTTCACTAGAGCTTCTATTTAAGAAATACTTTTTTTTCCTCCCACAGGAAATTTGTTGACATTTTGAGATGAGCTTTTGTTCCAGATAAATTGTCAAAATGCTGATTCATTTGGAGGAATGAAAGAAGTCCTCCAAGGCGAGTCTCAGATGGAATGGGGGGGGGAAATGGTTTATATGATGAAGCGATATGAGGCATCTGAATTAGAATCTCATACCAAAACAATTTCACCTGGGCATATATTTCAAATTTCCTTCCCCAGACAATGAATCAAAATCTCCATTCCTCAAAAAAAATATTCTCTTTTGGCAAAAATAACAAAAGGTGAGTGAAGTAGCTTGGAAGTCAAATTTAAGATCTTTCATGCATGAGACACACAGCTGATGGCCTAGAACTGCTTTCCCCAGCATGGTGCCCTCCAAACATTTTGACTTCAAGTTAACTCCCATCAGCCTTGGCCATGGTCAAAAATGCTAGGAATTGTAGTCCAATATTGGAAGATTCCCAGATTATGGGTGGCTGGACTTGAAGAGGTTCACAATTTTGACACCTGCAAGAGCTGGAATTAGGGCAGAAGTATGTGCTACCAAAACAATGTTGCGCAGGAAAGGAGACTTCCCCCATCTTCCTCAGTTCAGCTGGTATGATGTCATGGGCAAAGTATTCGACTTAGATGTGCACATTTAGTTTTTCCCTGGTCTGATTTGGGTTCCAGTTTCCTTTGAGCCCTGATGCTCAATTTGAGGCTTAGAGCCAGTTCTTCTTGCTTTTGGGAGGCAGTTTGGCAAACTGGTGACAGCGATGGGCTGGGACTCGGGAATCCAGTTCTAGTCCCCACTCAACCATGAAGCTCACACGGTGACTTTGAGCCAGTCGCTCTCTCATGGTGGCTGCAAAGATAAAAATGGAAAGGATGAAGAGGAAAGAAGATGAGGTTTCAATGTAATTATCACCATCTTCCTTAGCCTGATACCTCCCAGTACTGAGGAGAAAGTAGGGTGGAGTGGGATCCAAGTACAGTACCCTGAGCAACTTGAAAAAGAGTGGGATAGAAATGTGACACAACCATTAAAAAACCCCCTCCTGCCCTGGAGTTGTGCCTGGAGTCACTTCACAGCTTTGGCTGGGTCTGGCAGGGGCAAGCAATTTTTCTTGGTGAAAAAGATAAGATGGACTACACATTACACAGGGGAAGCAACAAAGAGGGAGAGAGAGGAATGGATGGCTCTGCCCTTAGCTTTGCAGGAATGTGGAGAATTTTACTCTATCCCAATGTCCATGACACTGCAGGGTATCCTTACTATGTTTTATTCCTTGAATCAGATTTAAATATTATAAAGTCTGGGGTTTTTTCTCAGCGATATGTGCAAGGCTGACTTTGAGTTCACCTCTGAAGAGAAAGAGTGTGTTTTGTTTTTTGTTTTGTTTTGTTTTGTTTTGTTTTGTTTCAAGGATGCCTTTGTGTGTGTCAACAGACAGACTTCGGGGTGTGTCTCCCAACCTTGACATGTCTCCACCAGAAATTCTGGGCATACTAATGCAACCAGTAAAAACTAGATGTGCTTTATTCCGTCTCAAGCTCTGCATCAGCATTTTCCATCATTCTTGTTCTCATGCAGAGGTTCTTAGAGTTGGAAGACACCCAGTAGGCTATCTAATTGAAGACCATACTCTGTGAGAAATGGACTGTTGGTTTTATTAGGTAAACTAAAATTATTGAATATCGCAGTAAATGCAGTAATGCAAATGCAAATGGACTCCTGAGTCCTTTCCAAGCAGATTTAATTGAAAACAACTCCTATTGATTTCAGTGGAACTTTTAAACTAATTTGCTTGGGATCACGCCCAAATATGCATGGCCAAAGTCATCCATAAGCAGAATGTGGCATTACTGTGCAAGAGACAGAGGGATGGGCCCTGCTGACAGGTAGGTTCAATTCCCCCGAAAGATAACTGGGCAGCCTTGGGGAAAGCCAGATGGACTTCAGCTTAACCTTCACAGGACGGGCAGAACACTTCTGTGACAAATCACCATGGTGGACCTGGCCATGGCGATCCATGCCTTAAGCGCCTCCCAGTGGAATTACTGCCATGTGCAGTACATAGGGCTGCCCTTGGAAAATGTGCAGAAACGGCATCTCATGCTGAACGTGACAGTCAGACTCTTGGCTCCTGTGTGCATTGCACAGCTTAGAACGCCGTTCCGGAGCCATTTTCACTAGTTTCTAGTTTGCTTCCAAGCCTTGTTCAAAGTGCCAGTTCCTTCCCTATTTTATTTGTCATTGTGTGTTACCAGACTAGACTTAGCCAATTCAGATTCCTCTCTCAGAATTTACAGCAATTCCTCTGGACATATAGAGAAGTTAAGTTTGTGGGGAGATGAAGCAGGGCCTTTTCTGTAGCAGTGGTTGAATTACGCAGCTCCCCTTGATTAGCATATTCTTACTAGGAACATCCTCATCTTAGTTGCGCACTTCATTGTTCTGTCAACGCGTTAAATTATTTTAACATCATGTTACGATTTGAATGTTAAGCAAATTATTGTGGGGAGGGTTGTTTTGTTGGTTGGTTTTTTAACATTCAGAGTTTTCCTCATCATTTAAAACGTGTTTGCTGCTGCAGTTTTGTTTTAATTGTTTTAAATTTTACATTGACTTCAGACAGAGGACAACTTTATGAACATTTCAAATGAATAAATAAATAATAAAAAGCAGGTTGCTATGCAGGGCAGCTCTTGTGTAATGTCTCTTCATGTATCCATATATTTTGAACCATTGACATATTCTGAGTGGCAATATTGATTGTGTGCCTTCTTTTGAGAACCGAGTAGTATTTTTACTACCTAATATGAGTTTGGTAAGCGTTCTTTTTTTAAAGATGTCAAAAGTTTGCTGGCATTAACATGGAAAGTGGATTTTGTGACTCCGGCAGCCTCATGCTGGAGGGCTCTTTAAGTCTCAAGGGTTTTTGAATGTTGCTTGACCTGTCTCTATAGTACAAAGACCATTTTGATAACGAATGGATCAATACCTCCCTGTTTGTCTTGAAGTGTCTTAAGTGCTGTTGTTGTCCGCTTGCAGTTCTGACAAAGCAATTATTACTGTAAGAGTGGTGGGTTTTATGTGTTGAGCATTTGCTACCCTCGGGTCACCCTTGCTTTTAAGGAAAGCAGAAAATGTCACTTGCTATAGCGGCATTAACTAGAACCACTATGGTTAAGGGTCTGTTAATAATTCCATTATGTATTTTTTTCCTGTTTTGATCTAGAAACGAAGTGCTGCAACTTGGCAAGAGAGTTTCCCTTTCACTGGGACACTAGCAAACATTTCTGGAATTACTCAGTCTAGGCCAAAATTGTATATTGGACCTGCATTTGTTTTCAGCATAAAGATGCACCTCACCTCTCTGAATAACTTTGAATAACAGGCTATTGCACACACGTGCACACACACACACGCACACACACATGGTATTTAGGTAGTTTTGTATCCACAACTAGTGCAATATTCCTTGAATCCTCTTCTCACATATTTCAGAACAAATCTATGAAAGTCTGCCAAAATGATAGGCAAGACACCTTGTCTCCTGTAGCGCTGGAGCTGGAGAAACTCTGTAGAGCCTCAAAATTGAGAAGCCGAAATGAGGACTATTACTAGAAACAAGCAGTCTGCCCTGCCTATCAAAAGCTGACCAACTTATTTATAACTGGAGGACAGAAATTACATTGCAGTTATTTATGGACTCACTGGACAGGCTTTAGTGTCACTGTTTGAATGTTCACTTGTGTCCTGCATTCATAGGTGGAAAAACTTTGGGGTCACCTGAGGAAAAAAGGAGTGGGTTTTGGGATGCACGTAATGCCTCTGCAGTAGTTCTCTGATGGCCCATGAAGAGGAATATTACTTCATCAAGCTAGACTCCATCCAGAAAGCGCTTCAGCTGTTGACATCAATTGACCTTGATGGGCAACCATGCCAGGCAATTGACCAGCTCAATATTGTTAATTGGCCATAATCAAGTATAATCAAATATTATATGGAACCATGATGCCTGAAGAATTGGCTTCCCACTTCTTAGCACAACTGCCTTGACTGTTTAAAAAATGTGTTTGTTATGCTTTGCTTTATTTTCATTTGTTTCTAAAACAAAATAAAAATGGACCTATAGGCTGACCCTGTGTTCCACAATAAAACCCAAAGAACAGTGAAGGAGAGATCAATCCTATGGCCCCTTGGAGAATGTCCGAGGGATCATAGGATTGTTTGGAGCCCCATTTTCAAGGCTTCACGCACTGCTATGTCATGGGGAAATTCTGGCACCCCATATGCTTGCAGCTGCTGTGGAAGGAACTGTGCCAGCTGCTTCCTAAGACTGCAAATGAAGCTTCAGAGGAAGAGAAAGGGGATTGTTCTGGTGGGGAGGCAGGAGGGGGCAGGAATCCTAGGGCCTCTCCAGTCCTGGTCCAGCCCCCAGCAGCACGCCCTCTCTGGGCAGGCCCAGGGAAGGAAGTTTTGTAAAAGATAAAGACCTCTTCCTGCCAATGGCAGCACAATCTGGGGGATTCTGTCCTTGTTCTCATGTCTAAAGGCTTTCCCTTGCATTCTGTTTTTCTGGGATGAGCTACTGGATTGAAAAACCTTGAGTTACAAAGTTTGGACAAACCTCACCTTACACTGTGGGAAATGATACTTTTGAGTAAAATGCTACGTAACTGAGAACTCAGGATGATTGGGATTCTGAAGCCCCTGGATTGCTGGAGGGGCCGTGTGTGCAAGCACCACGCTTGCATGTCACACTGAAGGGACCAGCAATGGGGCGGAGCCTGTGGGCGCATGGCATCAGGGCCAAGCCAGCAGCCATGACCCCGCTTCTCTCCACTTGGAGACTAAATGCACAGGCTCCAGCATAAATGCATCTTGTGATGTATGGTTATTTTTTCTCTTAAAAAACAAGCAAGCAAACCTCCCTGCTCAGAGAAAAACAGCTCCCAGGCCTGCTCACACCAGTTTAAAAGAGAGGGTGGGCACTCTTCTTACGGGTACAAACGAAAGAAGCAAGATGCAAAGGCAGGAGGGTGGAAGGGAAAGGTGGAATGGGAACAAAGTGGTGAGTTGTCAAATGGCTTTCTATCCCACTGGACCCAGATGTACCCTCTGGCCCTGGTGGCCCCATTTGGCTAGCAGTGCTGCAGCTGCCCCAGCAGTCCTTGTTTCTGCTCGGAGGCTGTGGCCACCGCTTGCTGGCCTGCCTCCACAGTCCCAGGGCAGCGGACAAGAGCCTTTGCTGGCCAGAGGACCAGCCTGTCCCTGGGTTGCGTGCTTGGCACTGTCATGCCGACATTCTTCTTGCGCAGTAGGAGTGCAGCCCCGCTGTGGCCCTGGACCAGGCCAAAGTATGCTTTATGCCACCTTCTGGTGTGGGCCTTCCCAAAAGCTGCCACCTGTTTATTATTCTGAACCCTGAAGCCTGTCTAACGTGTACAAAGCCAGCTATTAGAGTACATGTCTAAGAGCTGGTTTTAAGCATGCAAAGCATTTTAAAGTATTTTTACCCACGGTAAGGCTTCTGATCAGTAAGATGGAACTGGAACGAAATTTGGGCAGGGACACAATATAGGGATCTGTCTAGTTTGCAGAGCAAAAAGGTTAATGCAAAATTTGAGGCAAAAAGCCGGGGTTTTGGGTGGGGGAGCAGAGATTTGCCATTTTCCTGCAACTCCTTATGCTGCTCTGATCAGGTTCTCTGCTCGTTTTGCACAGAAGGAACAGGCGGGGTGGGGGGGCGTGTCTGGAAGGTTAGCTTACCAGACCAAGAGCCCATCAGCTGCATCCTGTCCTTGGGATTTCTACAGAAAGACTCAGAAAATTCCTGGTTATGTTCTCACTGCTGTATTTTGTGTGTGTGTGTGTTGTCATTTGCAGGCGTGCCGATGTTATCTGTGCAACCGAAAGGGAAGCAAAAGGGCTGTGCGGGCTGCAACCGTAAGATCAAGGACAGATACCTTCTGAAGGCCTTGGATAAATACTGGCATGAGGATTGTCTAAAGTGTGCCTGCTGTGACTGTCGCCTGGGAGAGGTTGGATCAACACTTTACACAAAGGCAAATCTCATTCTCTGCCGCAGAGATTACCTGAGGTAAATGTAGGTTTGTACCGCACGTTCTGCCCAGAAGCATCTCAGTCAACTCTCAGCAATCTCTTTCTTCCTCAACTGCTATTTAAAATCTCCCTACATGTACACACACACACACACACCCAGAGAGAGAGAGAGAGAGAGGGGGGGGGGAGTTATTCGCATCCAGCCTTGTTTCTCAACACTCTCAGGAGCAAACCAGATGAAACATTAAAGGCAAGAACATGGTACATGTAAGGTGCCTGTCTTTTTGGTCTTGACTGAGCAGTTACAGGGGATCAGGGCTGTAAGAAAGAACGCTACACCCCCAACAACAGTTGCTGCCCCAAAGCTGTGATTTCCCCCCAGGAAGGAGGAACAGTTTTAGGAGATATATTTGTTGGGACCACAACGTAGAAAGGGTCCAACTCCCCCATCCCCTGAAGTGCTGTTTAAATAACCAAATGCAGGCACATCAAATGCATTTTGCCTAATTACCTCTTGTTAGGAAGTTACATATTTATGGGAATCTAAGATCAGGGAAAGCTAGCTTCTTGTGGAGATTGACTGTTGTGTGATCCCAAGGGGCAATATCCTCCATTTCTGATGTCAGTAGTCCAGCCAGAAAATTACTTAGTGGATGGGCCTGCCTTTGTAACAAGAGTGCATTTGAATGATAAAAGAGCCAGCCAGTTCCAATTGGGCAAACCATTTTGCAAATGACAGTGTATATTGGGGAACAAACAATAAGATTTGACTTGTTCAGGTTTCTCTGCAGGGTGATGAAACAGAAATGCTCTAGGTGGCACTGTTGAATTACACCAGAATATGCATGTTTGTCACGTGAACAAAGTCGAGTAAGAGAAAAGTAGAAGATTCAGGGATGCAAAATTTAAACTTACCTATCAAGGCACCGGAGGAGTCAGAATTCATCTGCATGGGTCACATGTTGCTGATCTACACAAGCTTCTCTTTGTCCTTCAAGAGCAGCCTGACATTTTGCAGGGGGATCTGGTGAGGCAAGGAAGCCTGGAATTTATGGAAGTCTCACTTCCAGATCACATGAAGTTCTAGCTGTCCTCTATTCAGCACTGCTTAGGCCTCACCTGGAGTCCTGTGTCCAGTTCTGGGCACCGCAGTTTAAAAGATGCAGACAAGCTGGAAAGGGTTCAGAGCAGGGCAACAAGGATGATCTAGGGACTGGAAACAAAGCTCTGTGAGGGGAGATAGAAAGAATTAAGTGTGTTTAGCCTGGAGAAGAGAAGGCTGCAGTAGATATGATAGCATTCTTCAAGTACTTGAAAGATTGTCATATAGAGAAAGATCAGAATCTCTTCTTGATCATCTCGAAATGCAGGAGTTTGAATAATGGGCTCAAGTTACAGGAAGCCAGGTTCCGACTGAAAATCAGGAAGAACTTCCTGACTGTGTGAGCAATTCAACAATGGAACCAATTACCTAGGGAGCTCTCCAACACCGGAGGCATTCAAGATGCCGCTGGACAGCCATTGGAGAGGACCTTGGAGTCCTGCAATGAGCAGGGTGTTGGACCTGTTGGCCTTCTTGGCCCCTTCCAACTCTATTATTCTATGATTCTATGAATGGGGGTGTTTCCAAGTCAAAGATGCAGTAACAGAAAAGAAGGAAGTAGAATGTGATAGGAGAGTTACCATAGTGAAATGAGCACACTGCAAAGGCTTGCTGGCATTTCCTAGCGGATGAAAAATGGTGCTCCCCACCTGCAGTGGTGCAATACATCCTGCTCTACCTCTTTATTCTGCCATTCCTTATGAAGGGACAAACTGCTTGTTACCCAGATAGATGTACAGGGACTCCCATGCCGGCAAACACAGAGATGGGATAGGTGTGGGGTGCAGTGATTAATCTTTTCTTTGCTCTAGTTTGCCTTCCCATGAACGTTTTCTTTTGTAGAACTCAAAATACTTGTATATAGAAAAAACAACTAAGCATATTGTTCCCAAAGTGCAATGTCTCCTTCACATGTTTGTGGATATTTCGAGTTGAATCCAGTATCCGCTGCAAGGGAGGGCTTCTTCCATCCTTGGGTGGCTTCCGATCCAACAAAGCAGTCCCAGTAGGGAGGGGCTGTAGGCACCTGCTGTGCACTGACAGTCCCAGGCTGGGAGCCCTCCGACCTGAAATTCTATAGAGCTGCTGCCAATCAGTGTTGACAATATAGGGCTAGATGGGCCACTTGCCTGTTTCCATATAAGGCAGCTACGTGTGTTTCCACAGTGTTAACAATGGAAAAGATGGCACTGGGGGCTATCATGGGGGAGGGAGTCAGCAAAGATTCCCCCCCCCCCTTTTCCACTAGTGGTAGCATTCTTTATATAATTCTGCTCAGGCAAAACTCCCCTCCTTGGAAAGCAAGTCAGATCCTACACAATAGTGTGTACTGAGCATCTTACCAGCTAAATGAGAATCAGCATTTATTGTTTGTTTGTAGGAGAGAGTCTCACCATTTTTGATGAATTAGTGGCTCCATTATCGTCTTAAAACTAGTTTTCCTTCAACAGTGGCTAGATTTGTTACATAAGTATTTCTGGAGCTGTATTTGGCACATATAAGTTCACCATCTTTAAAGAAGGTTGAATTATGCGCATTTTCTTAGCAGAAATCTTACTTACATGCAGAAGACTCAGTAGACGCCTTTCTTAACTAAAATACAATTTGTGTTTTCCTAGCAGTGTTGTAGTGAATGGCCTCCTGAAGTTCTTGATACTTATTTGCATCAATATTAAGGAAATCAATGGGACTGGGTTGGTTGCCAGAGCTTCTGAAAACCTGCCCACTTAATTGGAATATCTATATATGGATTGAATAGATGCCAGTGGCAAGGATCAGTGCCACCTGCTTGATTGATTGGCAGAATTTCTGTGCCACTTGATCAGAGTAATCTACGGAGTCACAATACATAAACATCAAGATGAAAAAAGGATACTGCAACAGAATAATGACTCTTAAAATGCAAGCCATTTTCGGAGATGAGTTCAGTGATAACACACTGCTGTATGATTTTCCGGTCTGTTCTTAAGATGAGTGAGTTAAATGGACAATAATGCAAATAACATAAACATGCAAATAATAAGCAACAAGCAGCACTATAGGAATATTCCTACTGGGCTGGAGGCAGGTTTATGCTGGATTCCTAGCACTGGTGGAAGCAGACTTGCCGGCCCCTCTCGTTTTTACAGCAGCCTCCTGAAAATGCTAGCCAGAGCCAGAAGACCTGCTGGATGGGGTCAGCAATGGTGGGGAGATGATTGAACAGAAGAACCTTCCATGATGGAAGGCCACTTCCCCTCACAGAAGACAGGACATATTGGCACGAAGCATACTGAGGGCATTGATAGTTTGAAAGGCTTTGCATTGCTTCTGGCTGCAATGCAGATAAGTCGGATAATAATGCGGCTAATTTAGATGTAACGCCTGGCACTACTTCTCCTTTCCAAAACAGCGGTCATGTGAAACAAGCCTATAATGTGGTTGGATAAGCAGTTGCCAGGAATGTTTTGGAGACCGTGACTCTTACTCAGTGTAGTGGCTTTTGTTAGGTAGGCTTGAATGCACTTGTAAGCTCTCTTACGAAGGATTTGCCGGCTTCAGAAATTTGTTAAATATGATGATGCGTAAATGTAGGAAAGCAGTTCTGGATTAAGGAGAGTTAACGGGAAATAAAAAAATCCAAATGCCTATTAGGAAATGTTCCCGAGTTACCAGCAGCTGCGACACACAGGCCTGTGTTGCTCTGGCTAAAGAGACATTCAGTGAAGGACAAGTTGAAGGTGGTTGCTGCCCAGCAGGAGCAGGAATCTGGCAGACAGCAGCAAGGCGCTGGGAGAGAGTGGGCCTCATGTCCCACCCTGTGCTCCCCAAAACTAGGCTGCTGCCCTCCTGTGTGGTTGAGGAAACCATTGCACCCCCAGCGTTAAAGAAACATTCAGCCACCTGTCTGGCTGGATTTTGTAGATGGAATAGAAGAGGGGTCCGGCTCGTTCTTTGCCTCAGGCAGCAAAACATCTCAGGCTAACACTGCTGCCCAGCCTGGACCCCCTCGCTATTCCAAGTGCGTGAACTAACACAGAACTAACACACTCCCTTAGCAGATCAGTATACTAGCGCTAGGAGGATGCAGGACCTCTCTGGATGTACTTGTAGATGGAATACAAGCTGTGGGCTAGTAGCTGTTACCTCAGCACAGGGTTGAAGTGAGGAAGCAAGGTTGCAGCTCTGGATCAAGCTGTGGATCCAGGCTCCAGCTCTGGATCAAGAATGCAAATGGTTCCTCTGCATCCATGCTGGGATAGGATGTGTTGGATCCTCTGCTCAGCCATCAGGATGGGCTAGGCTGGTAATATTCTTGTTTGTTTCCAGAGAAAATCATTATAACTATTTTGGGAAGAGCGCTGACGTATTATTAAAAAAAGGAAACCTTTTTTTTCCTTGTTTTAAATCAAATCTCAAATAGGTCCCTAAACCACACCTTGCATATTATGGAAATTTAGAGCTGTATGGATTTACAATGCCTTTATGCATGTTTTCATTTCTATGCTGCCTACTACCGTAGTCTCTTTTCTGGCACTCCAACTTGGGAAAGACCATCTGTCCAATAGCATCTTTTCATTAGCCAAGCACACCTGATTTCAGCTCGCTGCTTGGCCTCCTGGGCACATTCCTTCAAGCTTGTTCCACTCATGGCTGATGCTGCTAAACCCTCTTATGAGCCTCTATTGCAAGGCTCAGGGTGGCCATCTCCATCGCCACCATTCCTTGAGCCCCACATTGTATCTCTATTATTCATTATATTGCTCTCTGACCTTTTCCCTCTCAAGGAATTCAATGCAGCTTATATAACTCTCCCTTTCCTCTCAATCTTATCCTCACAACAACAACCTTGTGAGGCCGAGTCTGTGACTGGCCCAGTCACCAAGTTAGCGCCATGGCTGAGTGGGGACTAGAACCCAGATCTTCCGAGTCCTCGTCCTGCACTCTTAACTACT